TGCCCGTGCTCGTTGGTGAGCTAGAGCCATTTTTCAACTGAAAGAGCTCAATATCAAGGCAAATCCGTCATGTTTTCAACATGCGCGTGCACGAGCGCGCGCTAATGACGCCATAAATTATGCGCAGTAAGGATGCGCGATGCAATTGTGAGGAATGACCTTAAGCAATGGTTGCTACATTAAGCAATGGTTGGTGCTCTATTAAATGCCGATGCTCATAATCAATCTATTTTTTGTTTGTAAATTAATTGCTCCTTCTTTGTGACAACATTGTAATCTCCTTATATTGATTTGTATCTTTATACACTACGAACAACATAAACCTTTTTGGTAGTGATGATGTTGTCTCACACGCATACGGGGCCCAATAAAATATTTTGAAGTTTCAACACACTATCTTTATTGGGGATACACGTAGTGATAATCTTTTCCTTGACAAAGTTTTGTAGTTGTTTTTCCTTAGTTCTTTTGCATATGGCTTACAGTTTTAAACGAAGTGATTAGAAATCAGTAAATTGCGTCCTGCTTAATATTTAAATAACCACTATCTAGAGTTAAATTTTTTGAGTGGAATGGCTATGCAACCCAAAAACGCTCTTGGGCGTATGAGCCGGGGTGGAGAGGGGGGCTGCAGTCCCCCCCCCCCTCCCCAGGTACGGACATTATGTGATTTTTCGGGCAAAACGCTAATGATTCGGGCAACGACACCTGAGAGAAAACATTACAAAATAATGCTGTTGGCGTGATTTCCAAAACTCGTAAATATTACTTTTTTAGAACTTTTTCTTTTAAAAAGTTTTAAATTATACTCGGATTGAGACTGTTGTTAGAGTATGATTGATTGATTGGTTGATTGATTGATTGATTGATTGATTGATTGATTGAGTATGCAATCTTTGAACAAAACTATTATTGGAATTACCGTGTGGCATGAAATTTACATGGGATCTAATTATCGCGAATTTTTCATTGATCCGCGAAAATTAAATCCCGTGAAAACAAACTCCCTCCAAAAAAACCTCTGCAAAAATTTACTCTTTTTATTTACATTGCAGAATTTCAATGACATTGGTTGCAAACAGTGTAACGAAAACGACCATATGACTTCCGTTCTTGTTACTTTCAAGTACCGTACATGAAATCCGCGAAAAATTATTCCCAGGAGTAAAGTGTGAAATTAAAATTCGCGAAAAATTTTCCCGCGAAATTAAACTCCCGCGAAAATCTCATGCCACACGGTTGAAGCAGATGTGGGAATTGTGAACGATTTTGTTTTTCATGCAATTTGAGTGCGTTTGCATCCCGATTTCAACAATCGAGCGTTCGGGAATTGCGTCATTTTTCGGGCAAGAAGGTCATCGTTCCCCCCCCCCCACCTAGTCTGAAAGTGCTTTTACGCCTATGTCTTTGCTGTATGATTTTGCTCACTGTTTTGACCTTGACCGTGCACTAATCAAAACTGTTGTTTCCTTCTGCCTGAGGTACCAAACATTGAGAATGTTTTAGTTAAGTAGTTGATATATAGCGTTTGAGCGAAAAACAAGAGATTGGGCACGGTCATGGACCTTCCAAAATAAATCTTGACATCTTTATTTGATCTTTTGTTTGATCAAAACGATTCCTCTCTATTACCTATAACTAGACTGACCTTTTGAAAATGACCCAGCAGGCAAGAGAAATGATCAGTGCTACTAATAAACCAGCAAGTCCATAGATGATTTTCAGGTGCAAAGCAGTCTGAGAGGTTCCGGATTCTGTTGAATAAATGAGGGAAATCGTATCTTATTATCACTTATTTTCGCGCGACTTTAAGAATAGAAATAATTAAAACAAAAATTAAACCCATTAAAACAATTAGACATGACAGTTGTCCGGACAAGGAGTAACGTAACTCGCCAGCCGCTTAAGTTCTGTTTCGCAAAATAATCCGCGATACGTGCGTCTGGTAAATACTGTTGCCAAATTCTTTGCAGGCGTCTGTCACTACGCACAGTGTGATTGGCTGCGGCATTTACCAGGACAAGTTATACCATCTCGCGAGGTAGTATAACTTGGCGTGAATTTCCGGCCATATTGGCGAGATAATCGCTTGTTTTTTCTGGCGAAAACAGCGTGCATTTTTAATTCGCTAAACTCAAGACGAACTGTTTTCACTGCATTTCCGGACTTTTCCGACTTTATCTAGCCAAAATTGTCCTAGTGAAAACACAACCAATATCTTGAACTCTGAGCGGCGTCAGTAGTAGGATGCGAACACGTTCCCGCCAAGAGTGGAAAATAAATTCGGCGAGCGGAGCAGGCAGAACAACAACGCGTCTAAGAAGTATCAGGCGTCTAACATTTAGAACGCCTAGTTCAAAACGAGACGTGTAGGACTCGTGTGTCAAAAAAAAAAAAACCCATTGGGAGAGAAACTGTTAGTCCTCTGGTTAGAATTTTAGTTCTCAAACTCATTAAGAATCCATCAAAGGCAAACAAAAGACACGACCGTGACGGTGTTTGGATATCTGGTCTTAATTAGCAGAGATTTTTACGATTTTACTCCTCAGTTGATTTTTAGTTTTGATTGAGAAGATATATCAATAAATAACTTGGAAGACGAATGCATGGATTTTGACCTGTGTTCTGGCTATCTGCTCCTTTCACTGTAGTTGGCGAATCTGGTGAGAGATAAATAAGTAGTAGACAGTAGCTTTACTACTCCCTTTACTCCACTTTACTACTTTCCCACCAGCGACATAGCGACAAAACGACATATACATAACGACATAAGAGGGACGTTATGTCGCTATGTTTGCAGTGTGAACATGCTGACATAACGACACAACAGCAACATAACGACATAATAATAATGATGATGTCTGTAATGTGAACATCGCCATAAATACACGGGGCTAGGTGAAAAATGGAACGTTTTCTTTCTTCTTTTGGTCGTCAAATTCCTGCGTACTTTTGTCACAGAATACTGGATAGCATCGATTCGCTTTGGCAAATGCTTCTTCATCCATGCGAGCCGTCAATATTTTTTGTTCGACATCAGTCAATTCTTGCTCAATCGCCGCCATTTTGAAAATAATGCTGGTGGCGGACTGGGTTGGACAATTCTTGTGCCGCTCTGATTGGTTCTTTGTTATGTTTGTTATGTCGATGATGTTGACACTTGTTTTAACAGAAACATAACGTCACAACTACATAGACATAACCACGTAAGGAAAAGATCAGCCTTTTTTCTTATGTCGTTATGTTCATGTCGTTATGTTGCTATTATGTCGCTATGTCAGGACGTTCACGCTGCAAACATGACGACACAACTTCTTATGTCGTTATGTTTATGTCATTATGTCGCTAGTGTGAACTAGCCTGTAGCGACACAACCGATTATGTCGTTATGTTAGTATGATGTAATGTCGTTATGTCGCTATTGTGAACTACGCCTTATAGTCAAAGTGATAGAACATTACAGGTGCATGTGTGAGGGGTGCGTTCTATGCAAAAAAAAAAANAATTAGTTACCAAAGTTAATTAGTTAACAAAGTTAATTTAGTTTAATTTAGTTTAGAATAACGAATGGAATTTCGCGAATAAATAGGTAAATAGAAAAACTGTGCCAAATTTGTTTTAGAGAAATCAAAATTAAAAAAAAGAAAAAGAAAAAAAGAAGATAAACAACTTTGAAGATGGATGCATGAATCTATTACTTTTCACCTGTTTTCTGATTATCTGTTCCTTGAACACTGGTTGGCGCATCAGCCAAAGGGATAAATTTTGTTAAATGGAATCACTGATGACGCCACTGAAACTTCAAATTTACTCGAAATATTTCAAAATCTTAATTCGGAAACTCAAAAACCAGTGAAATCTCTTTCCGTGTAATAGTAAAGGAGATATTGGCTTATAAAAACTCCACAATCCCGTTCGCCCAAACGTTGATTTTTGAACTACGCGAACGCAACATAACTGAGTTTTTGAGAATCAATAACCTCTGTTGACGGGGTACGAAAGCGTCCGACTGTTTTTACAGTATTTAAGAAATAATGTAACATAAATTGCACTATAATTGAATGTTACTTTTATATTAGAAATACTGAGTGCTTTCTATTCAACCAAAAACATTCCGGTTTGAATTTCCCAATTCCCTCCATCTGGCGAATGGAACAGCGTTTTCCACAGTTTCCTGGAAAGGGGACAACCTCAATATGAATATCAAATTTTTGAGCGGGAGTTTCTGTTCTATTTGAATTTTATTCCAGAAGTTCCGGAAGTTTCGTTTAAACGGTTGGCAATTCAGAAATTTGGCAATTTTCGGATTTACCAGATACTTTCCAATGAAATTTCAATACCATTTGTTCCCATTTGAAATTTCCGGAATTTTCGGTTGAATGGTTCGCAATTCGGAATTTAATTTTCGGATTTCTACCACGAAATTTGCCAGAGAAAAATTCCCGCAATAGTCATCAGCTCGTTTTACTTGTTTCACAAAACAATGGAATCAAGTAGGCTTAGGTTATAGCCAGTGCACATGTGCCCCTATTGCCTTTTGTATCAAGACGGGTAATGTACCTACCGGTGGATGATTTTAGTTCGCTGCAAGTCCCTGGGAAACAGTCCAGCTTGCAATTTTTGGCATCACACTTGAACTTGCAGTTTCCAGCAATTCAGGATTGCTGACAATCTTTTACCTTCGATGAGCAAATCATGTCACATTTGCCAGCAGTGCAATCTTGGCTGCACACTTCTGCATGACATACCATGGAGTTGCACGAGTTTCCAATACAATACTGCTTGCAGCTTTCCGACGCTTCACATTCCATGAGGTCACATGTCGATGTAAGACATTGCTGCTCACACTTATCATGTTTCGTGTTTGACAGGCCGCATCGCATCGTGCAAGGTAGTTGGAAACACGTTTGCGAACATGTGTTGTTTTCCGAAAATCCATCACAGTGGGTAATGTCAGATGCTATGCTTCCAGTAATTGTCAATAGAGCGAAGATCAATGACAATGCCATTGCTGTTAACACAACTGATATATCTGACAGAGACAACAAAAATGATTTTAACTTGGCAATGTTATCACGGGGGGGG